GACAGATGATGGAAAGTGGCTTGGTGAGCTCCTCTGCCAGCTCCCTCAGTACTCTCGGGTGGATGCCATCTGGCCCCATAGACTTGTGAGAAGTACAAATAAGTACTTGGGGAAGTACAGATAAGTCTGTGGCCAAGCAGGGTGCTAGGCATATAGATTTTTGTGGGCATTTCACCCAAAAGAAAACCTATAGAAAAGCAACAAAGTGCTGCTGAGGACTGGAGTGGGCTCTGGGATATTGCATGGCATCATTTATCTATAAGCTCACTCTGCAGACACCAACCATTTGTGTGAAAGGAAGGCGCCCTCCAGATGTGTTTTTCACTCTGCAGTAAATGGTACTGAGCTTTTCTCTCAAAATCTCTGAAGACCAACTAGGAGCCATGTCTTACCATTTGTGGATGGTTGTTTTCTTTGGTTTTAGAATTTTCACTGCTGTAGTAGTATGGGAACAGTTTTATTAGAGCAGCATTAGTGAGGAGGCTGGAAAGTTCCTGTCAGAGACAAATGTTTAATGCATGACTGAGAAATACTGTAGGCCACAAGACCTCTCTCTTGTGGGAACAGCATTCAGAGATTGATCAGATGTTGTTCTACAGGGAAGAGCAGATGCAGTCTGTTCTTGTAAAAGTTTTCAGTCATTTTGAGCCAAGACTCTCTGTGTAGGTAAAGATTCTTGTAAGTATTAGCATAGTTGGAAAGAGAGACATTTCTAACTAGGATGCCCGTTGTTTGTGCCAGTTTATGCCATTCTGATTTATGATTCTATAAATTAACCGTGAAATTAAGTCCTGTTATTTGAGGACCAGCTAATAAAAAAATATTATTAATCTTCAGATATTGACACAAATACATGTATGACACTGTTTCAAAACACTAGTGCTAGCTAAGAGCTGTCTTCATGAACGTTATTGCTACCTTTCTTAAAAACCAGGGTTAACAAGGCAACTTATTTAAGTAATTTGGGTTGGATGTGTTTACACCCAAGTATTTCTCCTACCCAAGTTATCTGGCATTTAAAAAGTTAAAACCACAACCAACAAAATACAACCACCCCAAACCATTTTATTTATTTATAAATATGTGTGTGTGTATTTAGATAAATATATTTTAAATGTTTATATATATGCCCAAATGTATAAATGTGTATATTATAATTTATAAAAGACTTACATTTTATATCATATATTTTCATGTGTATTGTATATTAGTCATAAAAACAAAATATATACATTTTATAGATATTTATGTTTTATTTAACATTTATATTTATGTAAATTAAAAGGAATTATAAAAGGGAGAGAGGAAGAGCTGAGAGATGAGTTCACTTACGTTACAGTGGAAACTGAAAGTTTCCAGTTCGTTCTTTTCATCAAGTGGATGTTTTCAGTACAGTGAACTGAGGAGAAATAAGGGAATGAACTATATATATTGAGGATGTTATATTGTGAATTGAAATCTGGTTTCTCTATATGTTTGAAAATCAACATTTTTATTCTTTATATTGGTCTGAAATGTGGTGTCTATTTAGGAGGTGGAAGGTAAAAGTGCTGTTCTGAATGTGGGGTCACAGTATGAAAGCCTGCTTGTGCTCTGTCTTTTTGGTCAGAGGGAGATGGTCATGTTTACCCTGAAAAGTCAGCAGGCCAGGCCAGTGTACTGAGATACTGGGTGAATGGAAGGAGGAAAGGGCATGGACTGTCCCATCTGCAGCGTGGATGGCTGTTTTAGGTTGAGATTGGTAGTCATTTTAATCACCAATATCTCTAATCCCTCACCATAATAAAGGAACTTCTATCACTGAAGCTGTTGGTGAACTACTGCCTGTGCTAAGTACATGTGGAAACAGAAGACTTAAGATGTGAAGATGCAGTTGTTTGTTGTTTATGTTCTGATGTCCATCGAAAAGCAAAACGCCATGTAACAGATGAGGAGAATAAATGTGAGCTACAATTAGTGAAACGGTGTTGTTTGAAATGAGGATTAGTCTTCTCCTGTATATTTTATTGTGTTAAGAAAAAAATCAGGATATTCCCACATCTCATCTGTGGCTTGTCACATACGCTGTTAGTTTGTGTGCTGCAAACATTTCAAAGGGAAGAATGGAAACTTCTTACAACTTAGTATGAATGAGGAAGAGAAGTACTAATTAGGAATTACTCATTATCTTTATGTTCACAGAACTCAACTGCACCTGTATGATGCTAATTTATTGTAGTTACAGTGTCCTTCTATAAATACTATTTTTCTTTCTGCTAGATCCCATGGCAAAAAGATTTTAATTGAATTTGTGTATCAGTTGCTAAGCTGCTTGGTCATATTTTCTACCCTTAGTTAAAAAAATTAGACTTAAATCAAAAAGCTAAGTACGTGCTTGCACAGCTTTAATTCTGCCCTCTTTGAAGAAAAGCTATGTTATGTTGCGTGCTCTGCCTTTGAACTATGTTGTATAAAAGCTGTTCAAATGTTCTTTGCATTCAGGTCTTAAACAGAAGAAACATTGTGCTTCCTAAATCATTCCCCTTTAGGCATTTAATGTCATCTAATGCTTTTCTTATTTATTCTTCCGTAACTGATCGGCTGCACCACTTCTCACCTGATTTATTCTGCTTCCTGCTTAAAACAAAACACAACAACCAAACAAAAAAAAAGCCACAAAACTGTTGATGCAACCTACACCGTACATCAGGGATTTGGGGCCTTTCGACACCAACTGTTGTAGGAGCAGAGTGAAGACTGCATGAGCATACATCCTGCCTTCTGATTTTCAGAAGTCTTTTTGAACTCTTGTGAAGAGGTGTAGGATACTGCTGGGCAACTGTAACTCAGGGTATGGTTTCCCAGTAGTATCAGCCAATCTAGGTTCGGACTCCTTTGTTGTAAGATCTAATTTAGCTGTATATCCATCCTGCTTTTGCTGAGTTAGTTTTCATCTGAATAATTTTTCTGAAGAAGGTTATTGTCTGGTTTTGTAACTGCCTATGCCAACACAAGGAACAGGAATGTATTTGTGGCTGGGAGAGGCCTGTACTGGACTGTACTGTGGATTAGCACAGTTAGTGTTAAATTACATCTTTGATACTTTTTTCCAAAATTGCAGTACGGTATAGAGATGAACACTGGTACCTGTTCTGAGACAAGGATGGAATTGGCACTCTCTGTCCTGGATCAATGGAGTTTAGCATACAGGGTTATGGTTGTGGTTCCACTCTGAGATTAACCTGAATTTGGGTACTACTTTTCCACCATTTTGGTACTGTGATGCATGTTAATCTTTATAGGGTGTATCATTTGGTAGTCTTCTGCCATAGGGTTCTTGAGGTATTTGCTGAGTCATGTCAAACATGGGGTTTGATAATGGAATGCAGTAATTAATAGTAGTCAATAGCATTTACACACAGCTTAATTTATTATTGTTGTGTTCTCTGGTCTCAGTTACCTATTTGAATTTTTTAAATTGAAGCATTAGAATCTGCTATTTGACATGCACTAGTACAAGGTAAATTAAGGAAAGCATTGAAGTAGGGGGTTTTATTAATATGTGGAACAGCATTTCAGTGCATACACAACTGAGTTCTAGGCTCCAGCTGGGGTCTGTCATATAGTGGTTAAAGAAACTAAGCACTTTTTCTAACATGAGAGTAGACACTTCAAATATTAAATATATTCAATTCTGTTGCACATACTAATGGCATTTCCTTTAAAATATATGCCCCATGGGTTAAATTTCAGTAAGAAATCCAACATGAGAAAGTTAAATAAAAAGGTATTTAAAGTGCATCTGCAAAATATTAGAAACACAAGTGACTATGCTCATGTAAAAAGGAGCGTATTTTCTGAAATACAGGGCTATTGAATTTTCAATTTGTGTTTTGAAATAGACCTTTGTGGAACTCCTGGGGTATTAATACACTGGAAATACCTAGAAACAAAGTTATTCATTAGCTTAGTTAAAGGAAAGTGATGAAAATGCAGGAGACTAATTGTATTGTTTAATGTAATTGTCTTTTGATTTTTTTGTATCTTAATTTGTTTTTGTACTTCGAAGGCTTTGAAAAGTATTTGGAAAAAATAAAAATGGAAAAAGATATTTTGGTTATGTCTTCAAAAATTGGTTGCAGAATTTATATTTTGGTATTGAAATAAGTAGCCTTAAATATTCTACTGCTTTTTTAGAGAAATATAAACCCATTGTCGTCATACCATTCAAAGTTAGTTTGTTAACAAATATGTTACCAGGCATGTCTTGCTGTACTAATAAATAATCCTCTGGGAAAGTTCTGCTTTCATGCTAGAAGGGTGATTTTGGTGATTTACCTGAGTGGTTGCTAATTGATGTGGAATTAGTCTAATGCATCTGTTATGCTGGTCCACTGCATGTCCTTTGGAAAATCATCTAACTGAGGTTTTCCAAAGCACTTTGAAAATTAATGTGCATCAGTATTCCTCCATCATTAGGTGGGGGATACATGGTTTAGTAGTTACTGTTACCATTTCTGGAGAAAAACTGCCAAATGCTCAATTGTGTCCTGCTCAAGTATGTGTTACTTTGCTAAGTATAATGCCACAGTTGTTTAGACAGCACTGTGGAAGACTTGAGAATGTAAAGTGAGGCAATTTATATTCAATTATTATGTAATTTGTATTAAATTACATGAATTGTATAGGAGGATTTTAATAATTAATAGTTTGAATGAAACAGTATTGATTAAAATTTGGCAGGGACACCAAGTTAGTATCTCTTCTCTTGATAAGCATATCATGAGATCTTTAATGCACAGGCACAACTGGCCTGCCTTTCTTTACATCTTCTTTCCTTTGAAGAATTCAGAGCCCCTCAGTTGAACAGACTGAGATAGTATCAATTCTAAGTGTCTTAGAAAGGTGATACACATTAGCATACATAATTTCTCATACAACTGTTACCAGCTGTTTATTAGTGCATAATGTCTTTTCTAATGGAAATTCTTTTTGAGTAGTGTTTCTTTTCTCATGTTCAGGAAAAAGAAGAGTTGATTGAAGAATGGCAGCCAGAGCCTCTTGTACCTCCTGTACCAAAAGATCACCCAGCTCTCAACTACAACATTGTTTCCGGGTAAATGTAACCAAAATAAATTTGAATATGTAGGCTTAGACCTCCAAAAGTGGTTACCACCTTTTGTGTAAGGGTTGGGGGGGAACTGTGTCATCACAAATCACTTTAGAAGAAACTGATTTTCTGGCTGGCCTCTTGACACTTCATGAAAAAGTTGTTCCTCTTTGGGCAATCAGAAGTGGAGATGCTTGATGGCAAAGTTGTTTTGTGGGGAAATTATGGTTCAGTATACTTTCTTGTGTGTTAACAAGGCTTTTAAAAGGTGTGCTGACTTAGGCAAGAGTCATGGTATTTCAGAAATTGCTTTGAAAATGCTTTCACAAGCTTCAGATTTGTTTATATCAGCAACTTTTACAATACAAGCATTCTTAATATCCTTCTAGTGACACTAATAATTTAAAATAATTTAATGACAGAGCACAATTATTTGCTGTCATAAGGAGCTCCATTTTGATGGTTCTGCCACCATGGAAAAGTCTGCCTTAGAAAAGGAATGCCTATTTTAATCAACTGTCATGTGAACAATCCTTCTGTTATTGTTCAGAATTTTGAAACAAGCAGTACTGTGGAGCTAAAGGAAATGTTGGATGTTTAAAAAAAATCCGAACAAGTATATCTTTCAGATTGATTCAGAAAATGTTTAAATTATTTAGAACTTTCCAGTGCTTACAGCTAGGGAACATACTGTGACAGAATGTTAATGTGTTGTGGCTGTTAAACTTAATAGTGGCTATGGAGAAAACTTGGCATATTTTCTTGTGAGATTTAAACTGCCAACTACCTACCTTCCTGTAAGTTGCTCAACAGCTATGAGATTGTAACTTGGGCTATAAACTTAACCCACGTTTCAGAATTAATACAGAAATTAAAGTGTCTGCATCCTAATTCCAGCTCAAGAGCATTTCTATCCCCTTTTTAAGTAGTATTTTAGGGGCACCCTATTGATGCTAATGAGGTATTCTTTTTTTCAGTGATTTTCATGTGTTAATGTCTGCAGTGAATGGTGATTTACATAAATGTTAATTATCTTAGTATGTGGTGCTTTAATATTGCATATTTGCAGTAATGTGTGGATAGGGTTTATATAGCCTTATAACTGCTTAGGAAGTATTAAATATTTCAGTAAAAATTGTGACCCACTGTGTGGGGAGACAGACTTCCTCCTCCCTCAACATGCAAGGCAGTTGGTGCCTTCTGTTAGTATGCTTCTTTTTGCTGAACACTTGCATAATCCCAGTAACATTGCCAAATGAAAAACAAAGCAAATAATGCAGAGACTTGTCCAAACAAAAAAAGTGACCAATCTTGAATCAGTAATGAAGAAGTTACCTATGTCAGCTCGGTCACGGTCCAGAAATCACTTACTTCTCGTGGTAGCCTTCTGTGAACTAATCTATGCAAGATAGCTTAGTTGTACAAGATCTCATTCAGAAAATGTAAACCTATTTCCTGAAACAGTATGTCTGCAAAATTCTCATGCTGATTCCCATTTTGCTTTAAAATAAAAAGGCACTAGTGATCTGGCTTTGAACTTTATCATCTTCTGTGACTGATTTTTCAATACATGAGAGACTTAAGAGATGAGAAGTCCAAGTACAAATGGAGTGTTTTTGGTCCTTAAAAGACACAATTTCTGAAGGACTTGCTTGCAAGTTCTTTGAATATAGCTTGAAACTTATTTTTATTTACAGTTTCAGCTGGGTCAGTCGGTATCTCATAACTGTTATCCCTAACCATGATATCTGATGAACTGTGTTATACTAGGGGAAGGGAGATATATGCAACTATGAAGAAATTAGGTGTTTCACTGTTTTCCTTTTACAATGACTTGTTTTTGACATTGCAAAGAAGGCTTTATGATGTGATATAGCCTGGTAGGAATACAGATAAATTGTCCGAGCAGCCAAGGATCAGGTTACGAAACCTAAAGTCCTGATAGAATTAGATCTGGCCAGGGATGTCAAGGGCAACAAGAAAAGCTTCTATAGGTACATCAGTGGTAAAAAGAAGACTAGGGAAATTGTGGGCCTTCTCTGGAAGGAAACGGGAGATCCGGTTACCCAGGATATGGAGAAGGCTGAGGTACTCAACAACTTTTTTGCCTCAGTCTTCACCAGCAAGTACTTTAGCCACACCGCCCAAGTTGCAGAAGGCGAAGGTGGGGACTGGGAGAATGAAGAACCATCCACTGTAGAAGATCAGGTTTGAGACTATCTAAGGAACCTGAACATGCACAAGTCTATGGGATCGGATGAGTTGCATCTTCAGGAATCCTGAGGGAACTGGCAGATGAAGTTGCTAAGCCACTATCCATCATATTTGAGAAGTCATGGCAGTCCAGTGAAGTTCCTACTGACTGGAAAAGGGGAAACATAACCCCCATTTTTAAAAAGAGAGAAAAGGAAGCCCTGAGGAACTACAGGCCAGTCAGTCTCACCTCTGTGCCCAGCAAGACCATGGAGCAGATCCTCCTGGAAACTATTCTAAGGCACATGGAAAATGTGGAGGTGATTGGTGACAGCCACCATGACTTCACTAAGGGCAAATCGTGCCTGACAAATTTGGTGGTCTTCTACGACAGGATTACAGTGTTGGTGGATAAGGGAAGAGCAACTGACATCATCTATCTGGACTTGTGCAAAGCATTTGACACTGTACTGCACACCATACTTGTCTCTAAAGTGGAGATACATGGATTTTATGGATGGACCACTTGGTGGATAAGGAATTGGCTGGATGGTCACACTCAAAGAGTTCTGGTCAATTTGGGCTTGATGTCTGGGTGGGGACCAGTGATGAGTGGTGTTCCTCAGGGGTCAGTATTGGGACTGGCGCGATTTAACATCTTTGTTGGCCACATGGGCAGTGGGATTGAGAGCACCCTCAGCAAGTTTGCCTATAACACCAAGTTGTGTGGTGCAGTCGACATACTGGAGGGAAGGGATGCCATCCAGAGGCACACTGACAGGCTTGAGAGGTGGGCCTCTGTGAACCTCATGAAGTTCAACAAGGCCAAGTGCAAGGTCCTGCACATGGGACGGGTTAATCCCAAGCACAGATACAGGCTGGGTGGAGAATGAATTGAGAGCAACCCTGAGGAGAAGGACTTCAGGGTGTTGGTTGATGAGAAGCTCAAAATGTGACCCAGCAATGTACACTTGAAGCCCAGAAAGCCAGCTGTATCCTGGTCTGCATCAAAACAAGTGTGACCAGTAGGTTGAGGGGGTTGATTCTCCCCCTGTGCTCTCGTGAGACCGCACCTGGAGTACTGCATTCAGCTCTGGGGCCCCCAGCATAAAAAGGACATGGACCTGTTGGAGCAAGTTCAGAGAAGGGCCACGAAGATGATCAGAGGGCTCTCTTATGAAGACAAGCTGAGACAGTTGGAGAAGAGAAGGCTCCGGCGAGACGTTATAGCAGCCTTCCAGTACCTGAAGGGGGCCTACAAGAAAGCCAGAGAGGGACTTTTTACAAGGGCATGTAGTGATAGGACAAGGGGTAATGGCTTTAAACTGAAAGAGGGTAGATTTTGATTAGAGATGAGGAAGAAATTCTTCACTATGAGGGTGGTGAGGCATTGCAACAGGTTGCCCAGAGAAGTTGTGGATGCCCCATCCCTGGAAGAGTTCAAGCCAGGTTGGATGGGGCTTTGAGCAACCTTGTCTAGTGGAAGGTGTTCCTGCCCATGGCAGGGGATTTGGAACTAAATGATCTTTAAGGCCCCTTCCAACCCAAACGAGTCTGTGAGTCTGTGATACTGTTAGCATCCATGTTTTGGATGTAATTATTCACTGGAATAAACTTTTCCATGAGAGTCTTCTGACTAACCATGAGCATTCCTTTAGAAGGTTGGGTAAAATTCAGGTAGCGAAATGTGGCCATGTTCTCATGAAGGTTGCAGCTTTGTTAGGGGCAAGTTGTTGGTGAACATTAGTGTATGTTATAGGTTTGAGAGGTGGAGCTGCAGGTGCAAATTGTTGTAAATTTACCATGTTTAATAGTATGCTGGGAATAACCTTGTGTTAGTGCCAAAATGCATAGGTCTGCTTTTGTGAATACCTGCGAACCTAAGTAGTTGTTTCACTTAATAGGACTTACAATATTCAGTGCAGCTTGTTGAGGAGCAAGACAGAGGAACAGATCCGGGTATATTTTTAATGGCAGTCAGTTCCCCAAGGCAGTTTGCTGCGCATTTGTATAATGCTACTACTGTGCAGAAGGTGCACTGCAGTAATGCAGGACTGCTTCTTTGTCGGGTTACGTTAAGTAACACCATGGAGTGACAATGATGAAGATGCACGGCACATGCACTGTGTTAAGTAGAAAGCTTTCCAAAGCTGTTTTGTAAGCTTTGCAGTTTCTTGGTTGAAGCAATGTGCTTAATTTTTAAAGTGAACACATATAAAATAAAATAATGGAGGTTTTTTAAGTGAAGTTCAGGTAGTTCAGTGTGGTGTTAACTTGTGGTGAATAGCTTGGACTTAAAGTTTTTTTGCTTCACACACAAAATCTACCCGTTGAAATATAGTCAGCAACCAGATTTGGAGCAGCTGTGCACAGGCATTTGACATTTGAGCAGCCGTGTTTAATTCTGATTGTGAAAATTGCTCAGTGCTAGTTTCCACATGGGAAATGCTTGTTGAAACTATTGTGTTTGAGGAATAGTATAGGATCTCAACTGTAATATTTGACAATGCATACAGAAATGGGCAGACATAAGGTTTTGTATTTGGCTTAGCTATGAGACTTCTCAACACTCTCAGTGATTAATTGAAACTTTTGGGTTTGTAGTATTGAAGTGAATAATTGCCAAAACAAGATTGCTTTTAGAATATAGCACACAGATGTAATGCTTGCATTTAAAGGGGTAATAGCTATTTCTATCTTCAATTTTTTTAATAACTGTTTAACTAAATCGTAATTTTTTAGGGCAGAAAATTTCTCTGCCCTTTGCTTCATATATCTTGTGCTCTTGTTCATTTGTTAATATTGGGTGTTTTCACACTTTCTGTGTTTCCTGCTTGCATGAGTTATTCAAACTGCTATGGATTAAACAGAGTTGCAAACTTGAGATGACAGATAGTACAATACTTTTGTCTGCTTACAGCTAGTACCTATATTTCAGGAGCCCTGTTCAATAAAAGATCAGTATTGCGGGTTTGCTTTATGACAAAAACATTGGGTTTAAATTAATTTTTATCATGGAAGGAAGTAGCAATGAAATTGTGTTTTTATTTGTAGTATTCCTTCAAATAGATATCACTTTGCTTTTAAACGAGAAGCTTTATTTCTTTCTTCAGGAGTCACCTTTGTATGAATTAAGTTTTCGACAACGAATCATTAAACCAAATATCTCAGGAAGGTATTTATGGTTTCTTTATTAAACTACAGGAATACACTTTTTTGCTGAGTATGGTAGTGTATTTGTGACTTGACACTGAACTTAAGTATTGGTTGGCAGCTGCAGAGGAAGAATTGGAAAGACGGAATCTTGAAAAAGCTATGTGCCTTTCACTGTTGAAAAACAGAACTCCTGAACTATTTGACTGTTTATGAAAATGGCAAATGTTCATTCATAACAACAGGTCTGTAATTTTTTTTTCAGTCCTCCCACCCATATAATCACTGTTAATGGAAAGGAATGTATAAACTTTGCATCATTTAACTTTCTTGGACTTTTGGATAATGAAAAGGTTAAGGTGAGTTCTTCTAATTACTGTGTTTGTGTGATTAGTCCTCTTTTACTTTGTATGTTATCTTGAAATCAAGAATGACTTCAGAAAGCACAAACTTTGTCAAGGAATTATACTTCTAAAGCAGCAAGGAAGATTATAAACCTTGTAATTCTGTGCTGTTTATGTTTTTACTAAAGTTTAATCTGGTGTACTTACTGCATATGAGCTGATTATCAAGTTACATTAGTATCTTACGTCCTTAATCATTAGAATACAATTAATGATTGTTAAAGATTTGTCTAAAATAGTTTTGATGTGAAATTAATTAATAGAATTCAGTACATTAATATACGTTTTGTAAAGCAGGTCATGTTACATGGTGCAAGAGCTGGCCTGTGTACATTGGTATAAAATTGTCATTCTGAAGTGTATGGAGGAGTTGAAGATCTAGTGTAGCAATAAATATTTTGTGTAATTCTTTTGTGTTAAAGAGTGCGGCCCAGGCATCTCTGAAGAAATACGGTGTTGGCACTTGTGGACCTAGAGGATTCTATGGTACTTTTGGTGAGTAATTTCTTTGGTCTGCCTTGAAGGGTGTTCAGACTGGTTTGGTAAATCAGCCAAAATAGTCCTACATATAAGCAGCAAATTATTTCTGTCGTTGTGAAGAACAGTTACCCTCTAACACACTTTTTACTGTGATTGTTCAGGATTGGTAGAGTTTATTGTTTGTAGCTTTGTTTCTTATTCATTTTATGTGTTTTCTTACTCTTTCTAATGGTGGTGTTGGAGAGTTACAAAGCTAAATATAACCTGTTGAGTTCTGATCGGCATAGTAGAAAGAGAAAATAAACATATTAGAATTTAATCATACACAGAGAATTTAAGTGTAAATTAATAACAAGTTTCTAAGTAGACCACAAGAGGGCAGTCTGATTTCTATGATAAAGATGATTAGTTAAGTTTATCTGATGCTGTAGTCAGAATGAAGTTTTCCTTTACTGACTACTTTAATGTTGTAGTTAAGAGATTTTATGACACGAGCCGATATTACTAACGGTTTTTTCATTTTTTTTTAAGAAGTACTAAGTTCTTAAATATCAGCCTCTGCAAATAGTTATTTACAGGCATTGGTATTTTGAAATACTGCATGGAAACCAAAGTGTAATACATGAATAACTGCACAGTTGCAGGATAAACCCATCAACTCAGTCTTGTGAACTTTCCGGTCTCTTCCCAGAGGCGATGGAATTCACAGCATGTTTGTACTCAGATGATTTCATCAAGCTAGCTTCCTATAGCCTTGACTTGAATTTAAGACTAACTTGAACTTTTCTCAGTTAATCAAGCTAGCCCTTTAAGTGATCGACCAGGTGCTACACCTACTTGGATTTGTTAGAAGTCTATGTATCATAATGAAGTTGAGTCTCTGGTATTAATCTTACAGATTGTTCATTAGCCCAGAACTGTAATTCATTTCTAAAGGAGGTGATGGTAGCGCATTGATTAGTAGAGAGCTTTTAGAAAGTGAGATTTCCTCACTGATCACAGTTCAGCAGTGATCTGTTGGAATTCATACAGGCTTTTTTTTTTTCCCTTCAAAAACACTGAAAAGCTCAAAGAAACTTGTGGACTAATGCCTCCTGCCTTTTCAGTCCAGGCTGAAAATTTAGCCAGACCAGTCATCCCCAGGGTACTCAGGCCCCTGAGC